AACCTATGCTTGGATTTTAAAATGTTTGCACCAAAATAAAGTCATACTTTAATTCCACATTTCCATGAACTTTTCAAAGTTCCTGCATGAGTGTGCCTGTGTGTGTATGGTGACATATAAGGAATAAGCAACAAGAGTTCAGCTCCCTTGCTGACTAACCAAGGGACCAATTGCTTAAGGGAAAACTCCTCCTTCTACCCATTTCTTTCTTTTCTTCTTCTTTTTTTTTTTTAACTATATATGTTTTTTTTTTTTTTTTTTTTGAGAGATTTTTGCTACAGGGCTCATGTGCTCACCAGAAAGACAGAGAGAGACAGAGAGACAGAAAGCGAGAAATCACACCCCAGGGGGGATGACCGCACCACAATCCCTTTTCCTCCATTCTGCTCTCGGGATATTGGGCACGCACACACATGCGCCCAGCGTGAGTTTAAGCCACCGAGTCCGGGAGTCAAACTGTGGTCGACTATACGGGAGATCAGCGACATAGCAATTACGCTAACTGCTGGTCCCTCTACCCATTTCTTTTCCATCGATGTAGATGTTCTCATTTGCTTTTAATATCTTATAATACCAATTGCTCTTTAAAATATCAGGCATAAATCTGGATATTCTCTCACTCGATCTTTCTCCAGACAGGTCATTTCTATTTTCTCTTGCTATTTCCACCAAAGTTTCAGATCACAGAAGTTGGAAGCAACTTGAAGCACAGCTGGCTCCCAGAGCCTGTCCTCCCTGAGCAAAGCTATTTCCCTCACATTATTTCTTGCTTGCACTAAGCTTGCTACTGGGGCTCTGTTTCCTTACAGCTCGACAGTGAACTGGTTGACCCTTTTCTTTGAAGAGAAATTAGGTACTTCAGAAGACAGCTTCTTTTCAAGTAAATTATCTTTGGATATTTGCTTCTTCCCATGACTTTAAACGACACTGACTCCTTCATGTGCCATTGCTGATGCCCATTAAAAATGGGCTTTGGGGATTCCAGCCTCGTTACGAGAAGTTACCCCAGTAGCAGGAGCTGTCTATGCCATGCCTGGCTCACCTCAGTTCTCACTGTTTTTCAAATATTTTTAATTGTGTACCTGTTACTCTTTGAGGAGTTTTTGTTGTTGTTGTTGTTGTTGTAAAAACATGGTCAGCTAATGGTAAGCCAGGAAGTTAAAGCCCTTTAGAATGGCCCTGACACAATGACAGAGGATTCCTTGCCCTTTGGGTGAGACAATGCTGAGGCGCGGTCTAACCAAGGATTGACAAAATTTTCCTATAAAGAGCCAGGTAGTAAATATTTCAGTCCTTATGGGCCATGTGGTCTCTGTCACAGCTACTCAACAGCGTACAAGCAGCTATAGCATAGAAAATCTGTTATAAGAAAACTTCACTTTTCGCCACTGAAATTCAAATTCCAATCATTTGAATCTCACAAAACATTATTCTACTTTTGATTATCTTTCAACCATTTAAAAACATAAAGACTATTCGCAGCTCGCAGGGCATAGAAATCGAATGGGTTGGGCTCAGCCCTAGTTTGCCAACCTTCGTCTACATGGTCTCCCAGAGGGCCCCTATGAAATTGAGCCCTAGTTGCCCGCAGCACTAATATGATCATTAGAGTGCCTTAGACTGGCTTTTTTTTCCTTTTCCTTAATACCCCCCTGGGTCACCTTCCAAATAAGCTGCAGTAATGTTCCTTTATCTGAGAGGGATGTCTTTCAAGACCCTCAGTAAATGCCTGAAACAGCAGACAGTATGGAGCCCAATAGATACTGTTTTTTATTTTATTTTATTTTTTTAATTTAAATAATGGAGATGGCTACTAAGGGAGGCTACTACGAGATTTTATTACACTACTCAGAATGGTGTGTTATCTAAATCTTTTCATGGTTTTATACTATGGTTGATGGTGGTTAACTGAAATGCTGGAAAGGGAAACTGGATAAAGGGGGGGGCAGCTATACTTGCACTGAAAGCCATCTCAGAGTCTGATTCTATTCTTTTTTTTTTTTTTTTTTGAGAGGATTTTGCTATAGGGCGCATGCGCTCGCCAGACAGACAGAGAGAGACAGAGAGACAGAAAGTGAGACATCACCCACCAGGGGAGATGGCCACGCCACAATCCCTTCTTCTCCATTCTCCTCTTGGGATCTTGGGCATGCACACACACGCGCCCGGCATGAGTTTAAGTCACTGGGTCTGGGACGCAAACCACGGTCGACTATGTGGGAGTCCAGCGACATAGCCATTACGCTAATTGCTGGTCCCAGAGTCTGATTCTATTCTTAGACTGCTCCCTAGACTGGTAGACTAGATTCGATGTTTCCATTTCCCCCCGAGTTACAGACCACAGAAATTTAGAGCAGGGCAATCCTACTAATACCTCTTAGAACCTGGCCCTCCCCAGCTCTGCCTCCTCCAACCCTATCTTGCTTTACCACCCTGCATTGGTCACATCTAGCCAGCTTCCAGAGTGCTATCTCCCCTTTCCCTGAGGATGCTTCAGTGAACAAGCTCATCCTTCTCTACTACCACGGTGCTTTTACTCTACAGGGGAAGGGAGAGAATTACCCTATAACTAAAGCCAATGTGAAAGCCAGGAAGGGAGTTGGGCATGCCACAATAGTCAGGGAGGATTCAAATCTCCACTCGATCACCCATGACGAGGATAGACTTGCCTTAGACTGCAGTTGTATTGCTAACAGGAATACCAGAGACTAGGTGATTTATAAAGAAATAGAGGTTTCATGGAGGCAGCAAGTCTCAGGGTAGTTAAGGTGCTAGATCCCATATGGCCTGCTGTGCAGTTTGAATCCTGGATCCGGTGACTTGAAAAACATGCCAGGCATGTATGTGTAGGCTTAAAATCCTGAGAGAAAAGGGAGGAGAAGGAATTGCAGTTGGTCACATCCCCTGGGGGGGGGTGGTTTTCTGCCCCCCCCTGCCCCCCCCCACGGCAAGCACACACACCCTATAACAAAAATCTAAAAACAAAACAAAGACATAAGGAATAGAGGCTTATTCAACTCACAGTTCCAATGGTTACAAAGTCCAAAGTGGTAGGGCTGGCATCAGGCCAGCTCATATCACAACATGGCTGACGGAAGCAGAGATGATGATGGGTATCTTGAGAGAGAGAGAGAGAGAGAGAGAGAGCGAGGGAGCACGAGCGAGAGCTCTGCTTTATATCTCTGTCTCATTTCCCCTTGAACCAGAACTTGCTCATGGGGGCTCCACCCTACCACTTAATCATTAATCTCTTCCCGAGGCCCTTTCTTTGGACACCATGGTAGGACCAAGTTTTCAAGATCTTAATCACATTACAATGGGTCAACACATGAATTTGTGGGGAACTTATTCAAACTTTCCCCAAGCCTCAATTCCTCACCTGAAGAGAAGATAATCAGAGCTCATCCTTTATGGGGCCAATGGAGAATGAAATAGGTCTGGAGGATCACTCCTGCATTATAGTGCACAGCGTATAGGAGGTGCTCCATGACTGCAGAGAACTACTGCCATTGATAACAAACCATACTTTAGCAGCACATCATGGAAGGGTCAGTGAAGGTGGGTTTCATGGTGGGAGAGGGAGAAGTGTGTGGGGCAGGATTTGGGTGGATGGAGGGAAAAGGACCACTTTATACTAGAGCACAGCATCAGCAAAGACAAACCATGAATCCCAACAGAAGAAACTTGAGTACTTGTCCAGCATCCTGTCCTTACGAACATAGGCTAAAGAAGATGGCCCAGAAGCATGCATCTATTGAGTCCCTACTTACACTGCAGACAGTGTTCTAAGTACTTAACAGATCATCTCCTTCAATTCTTGTGGCAGCGATTAGATAGAATTTAACATTACTCATATTTTGCAGGGGTGCAACCAAGGCTCCAGAGAGATGAAGTTGCCAGCATGTTGATTCCAGTCATGGTTTGTCTAATAGAACCTCTGTTCTTACCAAATAGGCTCTGAATTCCCTAGCATGCAGAAAGTGGACTAAGCTAGATTTTCAGTCTAAAGACCGTGTCCTAAAGCAAGTGATGTCTACAGAGAGATCTGAAGGATGGGCAGAAATTTTCTCTTGGAAGGAGGACAGAGACTATCCCAGACAAGAGTGTGTATGTCAAAGTTTAGAGGCACACTGGGCAGAATTAGCTTGGTCTGGCTGGAGCATGGAGTGCAGAGAACCAAACCCGGGGGATGAGAGGTAAAGTCACAGGCTAGAGGATGGATTACAAAGAATCCTGCAACTAAATTCAAGAATCTGGTTTTTATCTTAAGGTAAAAGAGAACTTATGAAGAGCTTTGAAAAATAAGGATTTCTCTTTCTTTCTCTTTTGGAGAGATTTTTGCTATAGGCTATGTACACTTGCTGGAGAGACAGAAAGAGAAAGGGAGACAGAAAGTGGGAAGTCACTCCCCAGGGGTGATGGCTATGCTGCAATCCCTTCTCCTCCATTTTCCTCTCTGGATTTTGGGCACGCACACACATGTGCTCAGTGTGAGTTTAAAGCCACCAGGACTCGAACCATGGTTGATTACGTGAGAGTCCAGTGATGTAACCATTATGCCCTTTCCCAGGATTTCTTTCTTTCAGATTGGATTTGATGATAGCTCTCTCTCCACCCCTTTCCAATCCATTCTCTTCACTAACCAGAGGACTGGTTAATGAATGGACTGGTAAGGAATAGGGTTGGAGATAGAGATACTAATGAGAATCCAGGCGGGGAAAAACTGTGATCTGAACAAAAGGAATGAGAGTGGGGATTGAGACAAGGTGCAAGGAGAGAGAGATAAGAGGTGGAATTGGCAGGACATGGTTACTGACTGATTGGATGTGCAGGGAAAAGGAGTTGAGACGGCTGCCCGGGTTTCTGCCCTGAGTAGTCAGATGGATGATGGTGCCTTCCACTGGATGAAGAGTCAGGAACAAGTAGGAAGACAAGAGATACCAGCCGCGGTGCTAGCAAACCAAGCGTGCATTCCTCCAACAAATATTTATTGAGTGCTAACTACAGGCCAGGCAGTTTCATTGGAAATGAGTGTTGTGTCCATGTCAAAACATGGTTACAACTCTGCTTTATATGCATATCAAGGAAAGAGGTCTATCACCTAAAGACAGCTTTTGGCAAATGTGCAAGGGTAAAAAATGTCATTTTAAATATCTCTGATTTAATTTCTGTTTGAAGGTCAGGTTTCTACAGCCAGGATCAGCTTCCATTCTCCAGAAGCCCCTGATACCCAGGTCCTGAAAGTACAGATGCTATTCCTTGGAGTGGAGGGGTGATGAATAGTCATATTTTCTGTTTTAAGACAAACTTCTGGGCTTTGGAGGACATGGTGGTGGATGGGGAGCAATCATGTAATTACTAAAGGTCAGGGACTCCGCCTCGCTTATCTCTTCTATGTTCTGGACAGCCACGTTGGTCTCCTTTCTCAAATCTCTCAACCATGGGCACTCTTCGACTATCAACACCTCCGAGTTTATCTTCTCAACTGGGATTTCAAACGTGTCTTCGGACAAGCTTGAGTATATGTCTTCTGAAAAACTTGAGTATATGTCTTCTGACCAAGTTCCATCTTTGGCTATGAGGCTTTGCTCAGTGATGACATTTTCAATTCTCAGCTCCTCAGTTTCATATAGAGGGTCTCTGACCATGGAGGGATCTGGGCTGATCACTTTGATATGGCATGGGAGACTTTTGATCTTGCACAGTTCCTGTAGGGTCCCTGGTCCAGCATCATCAGCCAGTTCCAGGAAATCTCCTTCTGCAAACAGAGGAAGTTTGACTGGGGTATTGGTAGTAATATTGTGACACTTTAGGACTTCAACTCTGTGCATCTCACCTTGAATATCAGCAGAAACCACGTCCTTCTTCAGAGCAAGGAAACACTCCTTGGCTGTGAATGATGCACATGGCTCTGTGTTGGAAGTATAGTCTTTGGAGGACTGGAAACGAAGCTGGCCACTGTGCATAGCTATGGCAACATCAGAAACAGAGTTAAAATACCGACCTTTTCTAAGAACCATGCCCTGATAGGTATATGGGATGAGAAAATGTCGCCGTTTCTTTCCTTTGAAAATCTCTGCAGCAATGAACTTTTTTACTTCCTGGGTTCTGAGGATGGTTAAGAGCTGTCCACACTTCAACGGAAAGGTCTTGCTTCTGCCTGTTCTGTTCTGTGCCAGGGTCACACTCATTATTTTAATTCTCAGTGGGAATTTGCTTTTTTCTATACTGTATATTTGCTTCATTGTCATAGTTTTAAAGGACCTATTTCCTAAGTCTGTAATATCAGTAACATATATATCCAAATCAGACGGGATGGCAACCTGGACTTCACCTGGGGAAACAAGAGGGAGAATACTTAGTACGAGATCTTCAAGAATGGAGTTAGTTTGAAAAAAAGCAGAATTAGGGACCAGCAGTTAGTGTAATAGCTATATCGCTGAACTCCCATGTAGCCGACCACGGTCCTGGACCTGGTGGCTTAAACTCACGCTGGGCGCGTGTGCGTGTGTGCCCAAGATCCCGAGAGGAGAATGGAGGAGAAGGAATTGTGGCATGGCCATCCTCCCTGGGATTGATTTCTCGCTTTCTGTCTCTCTGTCTCTCTCTGTCTGTCCGGCGAGTGAAGATGCCCTACAGCAAAAACCTCTCCAAAAAAAATAATAAAAAAAAGAAGACAAGTAGAATTAATATTTGATTCATTTATTATAGCTAATAAAAGATAACTACGGAGCATATACTTAGAAAATTTGATGAGAATCCAAAATAAAATAAAATAGCAACAGGATTAGTCAAATCTTCTTTTACTGTACCTTCATTTAGTGAGTACTAAAAAGTAAATAGGATGCCTTGGAAATAATATCTTTTTAAAAGTTTATTTATTTCTCCCATGAGAGAGGGAGATGGAGACTGACAGAGACAGACAGGCATTCCCAGCAGTTTTCGTGTTGCAGCCCATCCCCAGCGAGCCTGGACCACAGGTCTACAGGGCGACCTCTGGGCATGAACCTGGGACCTTCCCATATGGCCTTAACGTCACAGAGTGTTGTATAACTGCTGCATCACCGTGGCTGGCCGGGAAGACCATTCTTTATAAAGGACATGAATGTTTCAGAGCTGAACGGTAATGCCATACATTGCCAAGTTACAGCTCACACACTCACACAGTATTCTCACATCCGCAATCTGCATTGATCCTCATTACGGCCTGGGGGCAGTCAGAGCAGATCTTATCGCCCCCATCCTCTAGATCAGACAGTTTTTTGAGGAATCTGATGGCATGTTCAAAATGGATAATTTGAGGGAAGTTTAACAGAGGGACTATTTTTAAGTGCCTGGATAGGGTCGTGGGGAGGCCACATCAGGGCACTGCTACCCTCCGAAGATGTAAAGGGAGGCAGTTATCAGGACACAGGGCTGCCTGCTAGGTGCTTTCAGCAGAGGGACCCAGACAACCTCAGCACTGTGGCTGGTCATATAAACCCTGCTCTTGCTCTCCTCGGCCCTCTAACCTATAGAAGCTCCTGTTCTTGGCCAAACCTAACCCAAAGCCACACAGCAAGAGAGGTGGGTTGAGCCGTCCTAATAGTTTAGTCTCAGCCTCCCAGAGCACAGAGCAGGATGGAGGAGGTGCAGAGTGGGGCTAGGGACAAATGGAGGGTCCTGCAGAGATGGCTTAGGTGATACGCTTGAGGTTGAGATAGGAAATAGCGGACCCTTGATTAAAACTCAGGTCTTTCGACTCAGTTAAATGCTCTCTCTACATCACTGTTTGGAGAAATGAGTTCATCAGAATGTGAATGTGGCAGCAGAGATTTCTCTTATTTAAATTCTCTATGAAGATGAAAATTACAACACATTACTACTAAAGCGATGATTTCAGGAGTCTCTTGATACGGTCATTTAAGCCTCAAGAATTCTAAATGGAAAATGGCTTTCAGCAAGAGATGAAGAGAATGAACATTTGCATAGCACAATGAGCAAGCAGCTGGTCCATCATCTCTCAATCTTTCCTTTTTAGGTTTCCATTAAAAAATTAAAATTTAAAAATGATTAGAAAGAAGTTTAATTGCATGTGTCATTTTTATGGCCAATGCAGGCAATCACTCTCTATTAGCGGGGCTTCCATCTGAGGAATACAGACTGACACAGACCCTTAAGTCTTCCTGAGCATATGAAGATATAATGAGATCAAGGTCAGCTGCTGTAATTCGGACCTCAACTTAACTGGGGAGGAGGACTTACCCTGAAGCAAAATGGTGGGAATCTAATTGTATTTGATTGATTCCTGAAAACAGATTAAGGCGCCATTCTTTTGTAAGGGATTCCTGTACCTGCACACATATATTCATGTATACACACTTTTGTGTGATTGTTACACCCAGATGAGGAGTATGAACGGCTAGTGGTTCTGAGAATATCTGGACATGGTTATTTAAACTCCTAGAGCAGGTAAGAAATGGAGAGGTGAGGATTTTCTTCATGAAACTCAGGAGTATCAACTTAACTTAAGAAAAGTATGGCAAACCATGTGGCAGATGTGGGCTATTGCAGACGAGATCAAGGATTCTTAAGAGGTAGCTGAGCCACTGAAGTGAAAACATAAGACAGCAGGTTCATAAGAATACACTGGAAAACAAAGACCATATTAGGGAAACCAAAATATTCAGAGTGGGAAATGAGATCCTTGCGTTCTGATGATCAGATCTGCTGTGAAGCTTCAGGAATGTCACTGAACTAATCCAGGCTTTGTTCCTACCTATAAAATGAAGTGAACAATCCCTTTTTTCTTACCTCACTAGTAGTTGTGAAGATTAAATGAGATCAAATATGGAAGTGTTATGCAAATTATTTTAGGCTTACAAAAGAAACTGGTTTTGCTTGACTGAAAACATTTTCTCCATGTGTGAAAATATTCACAGCTGATGTAAAATTCCTGAGTACCCAGGTGTTTACTAGTATAGGTGCAATTCCAGGGATGCCCTCAAATAAAAGTTTTTCTACGATCACATGTGACTTAGGGATATATTTTTGGCATCCAATACGTAGTTCTTAAATCTACAGTGATCAGGCTTATTGCCTATTAATGACCAGTCTTTGAATGCCATCTTGGTAGCTAAGATAGGTACCCCAACTTTAGTTCCAGGTGACAAAGGGCTAAAGAGCCAGAATGCCCTAGAGAGGCTGTTTGTATCAGAAAGGTAAGGCCTGGACCTCGGAAGGAAATGTAGATACATTTGGTCAGGTCTATAGTGAGAGTTCTGGATGAAGGAATCAGTGGCCCTTGCAACAGATGTGGCCATGCAGGTTGAGCTCCAGGTGTGGCTCCAGTCTTGGCAGACTGGGACATCCAGCCTTCAGCTACCTTTCTAGCCTGTCCTGCTTCTTGGACCAATATCCTAGCCAGTCATGCTCTCATCTACCCTGTCTGGTAACATACAGCCACAGTGATGCTTCCTTCTCTAGATAGAATCTTTGCCCCAAGTCCATATGTGCCCTAGACTGCAGAGACTTTGGCACTGACGAGGAACCTCACCCTCTTTGTTCTCTTAGTCTCTCTTATTTCCCCTAAACTTTACTCATTCCTTTCATGAGATTAAGAGAGAGAGAGGGACAAGCATCCTCAAAAGGGTCTCATGCCATGACACCCCCCCACCCCCGCCGCCCGCCGCCCCGATAGCTTTCCTAGCTAGCCAGGATTATGAGTACAAATGCCCAATGTGTGCAGGCCATTGGAGAAGCAAATCTGCAGCCTTCCACATGGAGCCATCACCACTTGAGCAGTGCAATTATTGCTGTACCACCAAGGTAACCTTCTTTGAGCCTTGTCTCTAATTTAAAGAATAGCAACATTCTCAAACAGAAGCCAGAAATCAGTCTATGGAGAGGCTTAGTTTTAACTCTTCCTGGCCTTCATTTATATATATATATATTTGTTTTGGTTTGGGTTTTG